GTTTTCTCCAGTGTGAACTGTCTGATGATGACGATGAAGATTACTACTGCCAATGTCTTCCTCAAATTCCTTTCTGGTGTAAAACCTTTTTCTCCTTTGAAATGCTAATCCACCCTTTGAAATATCATTTGGCCTGTCCCTGGTCTGAGAAGCCTTAAGATGAAGATGTCCTGACCAGGTAAGTGTGCCCTGCCCAACCTCCCTACAGGTGAAATAATTCTGGTAAACATTGAAATTGCAGATGTTTGAAAGTGACATCTTGCCCACACCTCTAATCAACATGTTCTCTCTCACATGCTGCTGCTGAGATTTTGCACTGAAATAAAATTGTTTTGCACATGCCCCACACCTCAACACTATCTGTCCCTGCAGCTCAGTCAAGTGGAAAATGTTTCCCCAAACTAGTCCACAACTCTCACAGGGGTGGCTCTTCTTGGAAGACAAGGCTAACTTGGGATTCCTTGCCTGTGACACTCTTACAGAATCGTTCTGTTCAGTGGGTTCCTCCACATTCTCTGTTCCACAGCAACAACCTTAACAAAAGGAAACGCTGGTGAAATACATGTTGACCTTATGAAAACAGAATATCTTTACTACAAATGTTTATCTGTCATGACTAGGCATGATTTCATAGAATAATTTTCAGACAAGTGAGTTGGACTCTAAGAAATAGCTGTTATACATTACTTGGCCCCAAAGATTAGTCAATGGTGAAAATCTCATCAAGGCAGGGACAGAAACAGAGAATGGGAAACATAGAAGAGAAGAAGGCTCTGCTCACTGATCCTCTACAGACGGCTTCTTTTAGGACCGTTCATTCTGGGAAACTGAGTCTGGGTAGGAGAATTTGAATGTGCTCAAACTCACAAAGAACTATTGTATTGGAGCACAAGATGTTCAAGGTCAACACAATAATATATGTGTACTCTAAAGCTCTGCAGGCATAGACTAAGGTGGGTTCGCCATAAAGAGAGAACTGTGAAAGAGGTAGAGGGGCAATGTTTAGAGAAGTTAAAGTTATCTGTGCACTTGGAATCGGGTAGAAATGAACACTATTACAACAGAGGAGTTGGCAAAGTGTCAACAATAAGCAAGTACAAGTAGAATTGGGTGAGGAATGGGTCATGGCAACAAAATACATTTGAACAAAATGGGTTCCTAGTTATGACTTTCACAAAGCTCTGTTGTCAAAACTCTTCCAACAGGCCTTCACCAAGGCAAGACCACCTCTGGGTCCACCCTGTCATTCATCAGGTCGTGTTTCTTCTGTGATGCACAAATGATTCTCTCCCATGAATCCCAATTGTTTCAGCATATGGGATTCAGATGATATAAATCCAAAAGAAAAAAACAAAGAGATGCATGGTGAGCATTGTGGAAGAACTACAAAGTGCAACAGTAATCACAGGAAAGGAAATCTATGTTAGTGACATCAGCAAGATGGCAGATACATGATAATCCTTTCCACTCACAGAACAAGTAGACAGCTATCCAGGAATAAAAACCACTACAAGGGGTTAACAGTACAATGAAACCCTGGCCGGTTTTGCTCAATGCTTGGAGCGCAGACGGAAGGGTAGAGGATTGATTCCTTGTCAAGGTCACACACATCGGTGGAGGTTAGCTCCTGCCCCATCAAGTGGGTGCGAGAGGCAACTAGTCATTATGTCTCCCTCATATCAATGTTCCCCAATCTTTCCCTGTTCACTCCTTTTCACTCTCCCTGAAAAGCAGCTGAGGACAAAAGAGTGAGGATTAAAAAGAGTGCAATTAACACTAACAGGAATTCAATAGAGAAAAAAAAAAAAAAAAAAAAAAAAAAAA